GTGTCTCTGGGATTTCGGGCATAGGCTGGGGGGGTACTTATGCATTTTCCCCAAAATAAAATGATAAAAACTATTTGTCTTCAACACTTGAATATCATACTTTATTTATTTTTAATTATAATAAATATACAATTTAAATAAAAAGTAGTTAAATATTTGAATATCTATATATATATATATATATATATATATATCCAATATAACGAAATTATTATTTGATATAAAAATATGTATGTTCGCAAGTGATGATGGTGGAGATAATAAGTGGTGTGGTAACTCATGTGATCATGATAGTTGGTATTAGTGATGGTAGAGTCGATTGATTTTAGTAGTTGACGATGGTTCTAGTTGTGATAATAGAGGTGCTTTTTGTAGGATTTGATCATGGTCATTAGTGGTAATAGTGGCTAATAATGATTGCGGAGGTGATGATAAGTATAGTATCGATTAACATATTGGTTGAACAACGATAATGGTTGCAACTAGTGGTCGCGATAGGAAGGATGGTTGGTAGTTGACAATGATGATAGTGATTGTGATGCTGAAAATTATTCACACAAAAATACATCTTAATGGCCTCAATGTTTATATTTTATGAAAGTGTGAATCTGAATAATTTAGACCGTAATTAGGCTATTAAGAGTGTGAATCGTAAGTAGTTGGTTGGCCCATGGCCAAGCCATTTTTATAACTAGTATTATTACTTGAATTTTCTTAGAGGAGCTTCTTCAATGTGATGTTCACGTGACATGTCATATTGTTCTAGAATAATTTTATACACGACTTTAGAAGTCCAAATGTGAATTTGGCCGTAATTTTTGCTCAAACGATTTATTTGTGTTAAAAAAATTATAATCAAATATTTTGTTTAAAATTCTATTATTAGCATTTGAAATTCTAAAAACTAGAATTTATAAAGTCAAAATGTTAGGGCTTCTTATGTAACTGTATAGGTGACAAAAAAAAATTTAATTTAAAATGGCTGCACATATATATATATATAATTGATCGATATTGTATAAATTAGTTATGTAGTATATCAATATTGTGCAAATAGTACATAATCATGTACACAATTGTTTTTTTTTTCTAATCCCGACCAACTCGAATATATATATATATTAGATTTTAGTTGATCAATGTCGCTTCTAAGTTATTAAGAGATTAACTGCTAGATTTAAAAATAGGATTAAAAATAATGAAGTTTTGACGTGGTGCTGGGAGTAGTTTGCATTACTAGCTAGGGTTAGTTCGACAGAAGAACACCAAAAACTTACTATAATTGATCGAGAGATAATTGTGACATGTTAAGACTCGCGATTGATAAAGAATAGTTCAACGATATTATAATTAACATGTTGCAGATTTCTTTTAATAATTAGGGAAATCATAGTTATTAGTGGTGATAGTGGCTAATAGTGATTGCGGAGGTGATGATAAGTATGATACCGATTGGCAATATTGGTTGACAGTGATAGTGGTAGCAACTAGTGGTTGTGGTGGCAAGGATTGTTGGTAGTTGACAATGATGATAGTGATTGCAATGCTGAAAATTATTCACACAAAAATGCCTCTTAATGGCCTCAATGTTTATATTTTATGAAAGTGTGAATCTGAATGATTTAGACCTTAGGCTATTAAGAGTGTGAATCGTTACCCAACCCTACTAAGTAGTTGGTTGGCTCATGGCCAAGCTATTTTGACGACTCTAGTATTATTACTTGAATTTTTTTAAAGGAGCTTCTACAATGTGATATTCACGTGACATGTCATATTGTTCTAGAATAATTTTATATACAATTTTAGAAGTTCAAATATGAATTTGGCCGTCATTTTTGCTCAAGCGGTTTATTTGTGTTTTAAAAAAATTATTATCAAATATTTTGTTTAAAATTCTATTATTAGAATTTGAAATTCTAAAAACTAGAATTTATAAAGTAAAAATGTTAAGGCTTCTTATGTAACTGTACAGGTGTCAAAAATTATATTAATAAAAATGGTTGCATTATATGTAATGAATTAATATTGTATAAATTAGTTATGTAGTATATATCAATATTGTGCAAATAGTACATAATCATGTACACAATTGCTTCTTCTTTTTTTTCTAATTCCAACCAATTCAAATCTCTTCTAAATAGTCTCAAAATTTAGATATGAGTTCACCTCAATATATTATTTCATTTTTTTCAAGTGTATATAGATTGGATTTTCCACATTAAATTTTCAATGTGTATATATATATTATATGGTGGAGACTAAAAAACCAATATTTTGTTGCTTTAATTGGAGAATCAGATTCATCGGCTATCAATACGTGGAAGTGGAACCCTCACAAGTTCCTCTGCAACCCCTCTCCACTACAAGGTACTGTTGGAACTTTGAAATCATATAATATTAGTACAACTTTTTCATGTGAGTTTTTTTCTTATTAAGTTATGAATCTTTAACTCTTATATGACTTATTTCAAACAATTTCTTCTGTGAGGGCTTTTTGAGACCTTTTAAAATGACTTTACTAGTAAAAAGTTGGGATTTTATAGTTCCTTTTTTTTAGGAAAAGAGATCAAAGACCCAATTCCCACTGAAAATTAGATGCATTCACCTTTATACTGTGAATTTGTCATTTGGTTGTGGTGGGAAGGAGTAAAAACATAATCTTGCAACAACTAAACTAAAGTGTTCTACATGTGAGGTAGAAGTGGCAAATGGGCTAAAATGCGGATTATAACCCAATCTATCCCATTCTTATTAAGTTTGAATTGTTTTATTTGTCCTTTTTATAAGTTTTACCCCGAATCTCACTTTGTGTGATTTCACTTTGTTTGTTGTTGTTGTTGTCTTTTTCATGACTTTTAAGTATCCAATAATTTTTTTCATCATTATTTATTTTTAAAAAATATTTTGACAAGATTTCTCATGAGTCATTTGAACTACATATCAACTCAATTTTCAATTGGTGATCAATAACCTGGCCCAACTTGAAAGGATTGGGTGGATTGAATTTGATTTTGCCTCCCCTGTGTGAGGGGGTAGAATTTTGATTTAGTTTGTGTCAAGATCTAAACTAAGAATAAAATCAAACTACAACCTTTTTGGGACAATTTTCTAGTTTATAGTAATACATTCAAACTATTACAACTAAGAATGAAAAATGAATACTGAATTGAACTACTCTACTGAGATGTCATAGATGAGCTTGAGATCCGTAGTAGAAGAAAAAGAAGAAGAGGAATTTAGAGTGCAAGAGAAGAAGGAAGAAATCTGGAAAGAGAGGAGAAGTGAGAAAATACCAATTGATTCGTTAGTTTCTCTCTCTCATGGTTTTTAGCCTTATAACCACCTAGTCCGAGTTGGCAGCATCGTTTGTTGCTAGTCCTACACCTCAAATAAGTTTCAATACACCTATTCACGCTCTTTGTTTGATAATCTGTCTAGGGGTGGTAAGTACTATAGGAAAATTTGATCCCCTTTAGTTTGAACAAAGCTTGCCAAAAATTGTTGAGAAACACCTTGTTTCTATGACTATAGATGTAGGGGTACCATGTAAGGTCTGAACCGTCTTCCAAAACTTATCAGCCATAATAGTTGCAGTATAAGGATGAGTTATGGCTATGAAATGTGTTGAATTTGTGAACCTGGAAACTACCACCAAAATGACATATTTTCCTTAAGACTGAGGCAACCCCTCTATAAAATCCATACTGACATGAGTCTGTGCTTGGTTGGGAATAGGAAGTGGTTGAAGAAGACCAAGATATGCTATATTCTCATCCTTACTCCTCTGACAGATATCACATTCTGCTACATAATTGAGTATCATTTGTTTCATAAGAGGTTAATAAAAAACCCGAGATAACCTCTTAAGTGTGCCTAACTGACCTGAATGGCCTTCTAATAGAGAGCTATGAAAAACTTGTAGTAGTTGTTGTCTTAGTGTGCCAGTAGATCCCACATAGATTTTTCCTCTCTTCCTCAAGATCCCAGATTGATAGTGCAACAGATTAGGACCTTGTAAGTCTACCACTAGCTGAGAAATAAGATCGGAAGCAAAAGTGTCACCTCCATAACTGGTTGTGATGTCTTGCACCCAAGTTGGAACTGGTAGTTAATAGCTTGTAATTTAGCATGCAAGGAAATTGTTTCTTCTTCTTGCACCCCTTCAAATTGTCTGGAAAGAGCATTAACAACTCTGTTCTCAGCCCTTCGCTTAAACTTAACTTCATAGTCTAAGCCTAACAACTTGGTAAGCCCTTTTTGCTGGATTGCTGAAGTAACTCTTTGATCAAGTAAGTATTTCAGGTTGTGGTGATCAGTTGTTACGACAAAATGCTTATAATGTAAGTAATGCCTCCACTTGTCTATGGAACTAAGCAATTTCATGTACTCCTTGTCATAAATGGACCTGCCCCTATGCTTCTAAGCCAATACTTTGCTAAAATAGGCCACCAGCCTCCCCTTTTGCATGAGAACTGCACCAATTCCTAAGCGGCTTGCATTTGTTTCAACTACAAATTCTTGAAAATAATTCGGTAGGTCAAGGACTGGGGTGTTATACATAACTTTCTTGAGAGTCAGGAAAGCAGGTTTAGCCTCACCACTCCAATTAAAATTGTCCTTTTTTAGGAGGTTAGTGAATGATCTACATATTGTACCATAATTGGCCACATACTTCCTGTAGTATCATGTCAGTCCTATGAATCCCCTCAAAACTCTCAAGGAAGAGGGTCTAGGCCACTGCACCATAGTCACTACCTTTTCAGGATCAGTAGCTACTACCCCAAGAGCACTAATGACATAATCAAGATATTCAACCTTGGACTGACCAAATGAATATTTGGATCTCTTAGCAAAAAGTGAATGGTCCCTCAATATCATAAAAACAGTAGTAGTATGCTTCACATGGTCCTTAAGAAACTGAGCGTATATTAAAATATCATCAAAGAAAACTAGCACAAATTTCCTGAGAAAAGGTTGAAATACTTGGTTCATTAGAGCTTGGAATGTAGTTGGGGCACTGGTAAGCACAAATGGCGTCACTCTAAACTCATAGTGCCCGATATGTGTTCTAAATGTTGTCTTAAACACAACATCAAATTTCATTCTAATCTTATGGTAACCAGCTCTTAAATCCACCTTTGAAAATATCATTGAACCATGTAACTCATCCAATAGATCATCTACAATGGGTATGGGATACTTGTCTTTCACCGTAGCCTTATTCAACCCTCTGTAATCTACACATAACCTTCAAGTCCATCCTTCTTTTTCACTAACAATGCAGGTGAAGAAAAAGGCAACTGACAGGGCTGAATAATACCATGTGATAATATATCCTTCACTTGTTTCTCTAGCTCCTCTTTTTGAAAGTAATTGTACTTGTAAGACCTTAAGCTAACATGCGATGATCCAGGCTTCAATGGAATTGAGTGGTCTAAACTCCTCACTGGTGGTAAACCTTTAGGTTCGGTAAAGATATCCTCAAATTGTTGCAACACTACTCTTATCGGTTCTTGTGTCCATGCTGACTATGAACAAGTGAGCCATCAAAATCTGACCTTTCCTGATCAGTTTTCCCATTAATTGTACCACTGTTGATTATGTGAATACTTCCCCCTTCTGGAATAGCATGCAACACCACTTTATTGGCCTTCTTGCCAATAGTGACACTCCTCTTCTCATGGTCAAACTTGGTGGGGTTGTATTTTTTCATCCAGTCATTCCCTAGGACTATATCACACCCTCCCAACTTGATAATCCTTAGATCTTCTCTGAATGGTTTTCCTTCCATCTTCCAGCTGAAACTAGTACATGTAGATGTACCCAACATATAGTTACCATCAGCAACAGTGACCCTAATAAGAGAGCTATTTTTTTAAGGGAAAAGGGCCTGATATACGCCTCAACTTTGCCATTTGGAGCTGATAATCCCCTCGTTATGAAAGTGGCTCATATATACCTTTACCGTTATACAAACGGCTCACATATACCCCTACAGTTACAAAATGAGCTCACATTATACCCTTCATTTTAACGGAAAGTGAAAAAAGTTTAGTTTTAAATTTATATTTTTTACTTTTAATTTTCTTAAAAATTATTTAGGGGTATATATGATTCTTCTAACAAAGTTCAAGGTATATTTTTCATCTTTTTTATACATAAATTATTTTTTGACTTCTTTTATTATAATTATTTGAGTTTCTTATTCTTATTTTATTTTTTTCTTTCATTCCTTAGTGTAAAGAAAAAAATTAAAACTATTTTTTTGTGGCTATATTATAATTTAAAATTATTTTTATTTGGTCTATATTGTAATTTAATTTTTGTATTTGAAGAAAAACATTTGGTCATCTATAATAAGTTTTACAAGAATACTAGTGAAACATAAATAAATTTGACCATCAAAATTATAAATCTAAATTAGTCATTGAAACAAAAAAAATGTTAAAAAAATATATATGTTTGAGGAGGATTAAATATACTCATATGGGATTATATATATATATATATATTTTATTTTATTTTAAATAATAAAAAATTAACCTGAAATTAATTTTTTTTCATTTCCGTTAGAGAAAAAGGGTATATGTGAGCCATTTGTATATAAGTATGGGTATATATGAGTCACTTTCATAACGAGGATATATCAATTCTAAATGACAAAGTTAAGAGCTATATCAGACCTTTTTCCCTTTTTTTAATTTCTTTTTTTTTTCCCTTTTTTTAATAAAAGGTATAGGAGAGCTATAATTTGCCACATAACCAGTTTTTATCACAACTTGGGAGTCAATAAAGCTATGAGTGCTTCCTGAATCCACCAACACAGTTAGACTTCTATTCTTAGCTATTCCCCTTACTAAAATGGTATTCACCCTATTGTGATTTCCAGCCAAGGCACTCGGACAAATAGCCTCTTGCGTCTCTAGTTGGATTTCCACTTCAATTACCACATCAATTAGGGCTTGCTCCTCAACTATTTAAGTAGTTTCAGTAGGTGCTGCCCATGCCACTTGCTCATCTTATTGCTTCCCTTGATGCAATTCAGCTGCCTATTTTTACATTTATACCCTGGAGCATACTTATCTCCACATCTGAAACAAAGCTGGTAGTTCTTCCTATGTTCATAGACTTCTGGACTCAACCTGTAAGTGGTTGGTCTAGTACGAGTACTGAATTGAACTAATCTGTTGGGATGCCATATATAGATGAGCTTGAGATCTGCAGTAGAAGATAAAAAGAATAAGAATTTAGACTGAAAGAGAAGAAGAAGGAAGGAATCTGGAGAGAGGAGAAACGAGAAAATACCAATTGATCTGTTACTTTTTCTGGTTGTTAACCTTATAACAACCTCGTCCGAGCTGGCAGCATCGTAGCCCTTCAATCTCATTAAGCAACTTCCAATCACAGCCGTCTATTGAATGTGTTGATATTACTCCTCCAGCCCCATATCGAATCCTCATAAGTACATAACTTTATTTGCTCTTTATTTGAAGGCATAACAACTTGCTTATGTGATGTCAGGCACAAATGTCCAGCTTGTTACAAGCAGTGCAAGCAGAAGGAGCATATTATTGAACATATGCGAACATCTCATCATTCGGTTCATGACCCTAAATGCGGTGTGTGTAACAAACATTGCAAATCATTTGAATCACTAAGGGAGCACATTGCTGGTAAGTTGTTGTGCTTAGACAATGAATGTTTTTTTACATGTAAATGATCTCTAAGTTCTTTTTCACTTTAATATTCAGGTCCATTGGCCAAAGTGAACTGTTCAAGCATCTTTGCTGAAAGAGGCTGCATTTTGTGTCCGAAAATCTGTAGCAGCGTGGACTCTCTCAACGACCATAAGGAAATGTGTCATCTTACCACTCCTCAACACATTGTGAGTTGATGAATGTTCTTTCCTCAATGCTTTCACAAGAATCAGTTACACTTAGGATAGTTTAGATGTATGTTTAGTTGTTGGAATGTGTATGTATAATTCTTGCAGGAGTCAATGGAGATGCATCATTCAGAAGATGATATGGACAACATAAGAGGTCAGGAAGCAGTTGCCATAGATTGTGAAATGGTTGAAGGTGATTTGTCACAAGAACTTTGCGCAAGGGTATGCCTAGTTGATGAAGATGAAAAGATTATTTTTCACACTTGTGTCCTACCTCAGACTCCTGTGGTTGATTATAGGTATCTTCTGGCAAATAAACATATCTATTTATAATGTAAGATGACGTTTTTGGCATCACATCTTTTCATACTTCCTCATCATTGTGTGCCAGGTATGAAATTACTGGAATAACAGAAGAAACTCTACAAGATGCCATGCCTTTGAATGAAGTCCGGGAGAGAATTCAGCAGATTCTTTACAGCGTAGAGCCAATTCGTAGAGTACTTGTGGGCCATAACCTTGAGAAACACCTACATTGCTTGAAGATATCTTATCCTGATCGTCTTCACAATTTGGCCTAGACAACACCGCTATTAAAAAGAAAAAGAAAGTAGCTTAAAGTTGACTATTGTTGTGGGTGGAACATTTATGCTTATTAGGTCAAAGTAGGTCTGTTCTTGAGGATGGACCTATTAACTCGCTTAATCAAGTACTGATGTCAAGAAGCCTGGTATTTCTCCGAGGCCTTTGCCACATTTTCTTATTTACTCATTTAGGTAACACGTAAAATATCCCTCTTTGTTGCACCTAAAATTTCCACCCCTTTAGGTCCTCCTGGGCAGTTCCTCCAAATGATGGTACTTCATCCTTCCATCCAAATAAACTTGTGCCTTCTCTGCTGGTGCTGGTATTGAATTCCTACATTATCAAGAAGTTAGAACTTAAAGACAGATAATTAACAATAGACCCTTGTGGTCCGGCCTTCCCCGGTGCACCAGGCTGCCCTTTTTTTTATTTATTTATTTGGTTGTATCATGAGTTCAATATCAAGCAATTATGTCCATAAGAGATGAAGATAAAAGTAAGAATTATCATATCATTTGTTCACATTCTCTGTATTTGTCTGTCAAGTTGGGTAAATGAAGACGCTATTTGTGTATGCCTTGGAGATCTTTTCTACCCGAGATGCATTCCTCTATTCATGTCTTGCTTTTGTTCTGTGCAGAGATACTGCAACGTATCGCCCCTTGATGAAGACCAATTTCGTCAGTCACTCTGAAATATCTAACCAAGACTTATCTAGGGCAAGTTACTTGTTCACTCTCATATTTTCTTTACTTGTAAATTTATCTTCTCTTGTATTATTGTCGGTCAAGTTTATCCATTATATTCTCATTGGGCATTGTACTTTATATTGTTCAGTCACTGCTGTTTTCTTGGAGCTTGAATTAGTGGCTGGCTTAGTAGTTATTTGCTTCAACTGTGTTTATTACATTTGTGTGCTATGCTGATCGAAACTTTTGACCTAAAACAGATATGACATCCAAGTTGGTTTCCATGATCCTTACCAAGATGCAGTGTCTGCGATGCGGTTGTACAAGAGGATGTGCTCACAGGACCACCCAATGGTTTGGGTTTCAATTTCACCAGGTCAACTCTTTATCAGTTGCTCTAATCCATGGAAATCCGTGGCACACGAGAGAATGACAATAGAGGAGCTCTTAGCAATATCCAGAGCAAACTATCAGTGTTGGTGTCTTGATTCACAGGATTGAATATACATTTAATCTGAGAAAGCTTCCAGCTCCAACTGCGCGACACTAAAGCAAGAATATGTTATATCATGAATTCATATTTAATTAGGACTGTGAGGCTTCTGCTGCTGAAGTTTTTGTAGTTACTAAAGTTAATTGACTAGAATTTCATGTTTTTACTTGGTAAAAGTTACTTTATCTGCCCTCCATCCTTGGAGAACTCTTCTATTTGATGCTAAGGGAGAATTGCTTGATTTTGTTATTGCAATTTACATTCTCTATAATGTGTAGCACCAAAATACATATACAAGCTTTAGATGATCTTGAACCCCTTATAGTGTTGATGCTTAGGGAAAGAGAAGGGCATTAGGTTTCAGCAGTATGCATGCTAGGCATTCTTTACCATTTGGGCTGCATATCAGTCTAGTTAATAAAATGAACATGTTACTGACTTGCTCAAATCTAAACAGATTGGGTGGATTGTGATTTTTTGAGCCGATTTTACCACTTCTAGCTACAGCCTATAGGTGTCAGATGTCTTGTCTAATCACTCTCTTCCCTGGGTATTCTTTGATGATTTCATTAAGATTTAAGAGGGGATTGTTCAAATGGTAAGCACTTCTCATCTTCAATTTTAAAATCATGGGTTCGAGTCTCCAAAAGAGTGGGAAAGCGAATGAGTAGAGACAATTGTCTTATTGGATAATAGTGTATTGATCCTGCAAAAAAATCACTTGCAATTTCAGTGGACCCATGGACTGTAAGAAGGCTTTTAAGAAGTCATAGCTTGTGGTGGAAAGTTCCTTTTTTTTTTAATTATTCGTAACATTGCTTTTATGATCTTAGGAGCACTAACCGTCATGGACAAACTAATATATACCAATTTGGAAAAAAGTTGTTTGTGGGAAAGGCAAAAATTGAGACATTACATGCTGTCTTGCCCAGTATATTTATTAGCTTCCATGGACATTAAAAAAAATACTTGTTCGAGAAACTCGCATTGACTTAACGGGAAGGGATCCTAGATTACCTCGTAGAAAAAGATTGAAAAATAATCACAAACCTCGCATAGCACCGAAAGAGATAGACTAGAATATGACATATGTTATGTCAACGACACCAATGGAATATTAAATGAATGTAATTGGTATATGGATGAAATATAATGAAATAGAGTCACTTTGAGGTTCTCTCTGGAATGAGGGATGTAAGGGAGCCACTACGAATAAGTTTCGGAAATTACCAAGAAATCTTCGAGTTCATATTGTTCATGGGTTGAGAACGAGAATTGAACTCTATGAGATTGAATCTTCTGTCTAGCTTCGATGTGTTCTTTGCTTAATTAAAAAGGCATCCCCTTTCTACTTCGATCGTCCCAATGGTCAAGGGAGCTATCAAGTGTAAAAGTTTTAAGAGATAGAAGGGAAGTGATAGAGTTAGCAAAGGAAGAGGTACAACATTAGCAAGTAAGCGGGTCACAAAAAAAAGAAATATGCTATTGGCTTAACTGGCTTTAAACCCTCTCATTGAAATTTCAAGTACAAGTAGTCATCTACACTTAAAAACTTTCTTGTCTTCACTGATCAACATTTAGTTTAACCTAAGATTTTCTAAATTGTGTATTTGATATTTATATTGAATCCGACTAAATTAAATTTATGTTATCTAGGATTTATTAAAAAAAAATGTTTCCTCTGATTAAGAAAGAAACAATCCGATCTAGATGATAACTTATAGTGGAAAGTTGCAAAGTAGTTGGGTGACCACTGACCACAATCATAGTGAGAATGCACACTTTTGAAAAAATAAAATGTAGAGACTTTTTAATTACTCTTAAAGATGGTAAATTATTGTATGTGTATGATTAAACATAGATTTTCACCATATTCTCACTCTAATAATGGTCCATAAAGTCATCAACTCTTTTATTCAATTCGTCGTTGGAATGACTCTACACTAGGGGTCTTTATAGTGCAATTTGGTTCGACTTCTACTGAAAAATAATAATCAAATCAATTAAATAAGTTTTTACAAATATAATAATTAAATCAAATTAATTACCGAGTCAAGGTTTTTGAATTTATTGATTTTTTAGGTAAGATTGACTAACTTTTCAAATATAAAGAGAATTAAAATATTTCTTTGACAAATATTTTTTGACACGTCTATAAATAACAGTTGAATTAGTATATAACGTAAGTGCTGACTATTAAAAAAGTCCGCCTATGTGAGACAAATAATTTTGTTCTTTTAAATTTTTTGTTAACTTAGGCTAATAAAGTAGTACGTAATCATTTTAAAAATCATACCTAGAAATATTAATTGTTTTATTTTGATTTAATTAGATTATCAATTTTCATAAACACAATTATTCTATGTTTTTCACTTAAATTATTCATAAAAATTTCAATTGTATTTATATCCAAACACAATTTCAATTTCTAAACCTATTTTAAATTTTAAAAAATAAATAAATTTTATATTTTTTTTCCATCAAATTTCACGATTTTTATGTCCAAATATTCGGCTCCATACTTTTTGGCAAATTGTATTTGGAAGACTGAGAAAAATATAAGTGGGACCGAAAAAGTGTCAATAGAAAAGCCTCCGAAACTGACTAAAATATTTGTGTATATATATATATATATATCCGCAATTCCCAAGTCATTTCTCCACATAGAACGAAAGAGGCAACACTTTGAATAAAACTCCTTCCGCCTGTTTGAGCTCTTCACTGTTCATGACCGATTTTCAGATCTAGCTAAACCCTAAGTTTCTCCGGCGACCGTTGAAATCTCCATGGCTGTGGTGACCGGACAACAATCGAGTCTATGGGACGGAGTGATTGAACTCACTAAGTTGGCTCAGTTGAAAGGCACTGACCCTTTGATGTGGGCAATGCAACTTTCTTCCACTCTTAACTCTGCCGGACACTCCATGCCTTCTACCGACGTTGCTAGCCTTCTTGTTTCTCATATTTGTTGGGGTAATAATGATCCTATAGCTTGGAAGTTCCTTGAGAAAGCTTTGGCGCTTCGTATTGTACCTCCTATGTTCGTTCTAGCTCTACTGTCAAACAGGTATATGTTTTTGTTTATCTAGCCTTTGATTTTTATCGTCGCTTTGTTTAATTGTGGAATGAAATGGCACCTGAATACAGTAGAATTGGTACGGAATGTTTATTTAAAAATGATTAGTTAATAATGTTTAATTCTTTAATTCACTAAGCTTTAAGATGAGATGATAGCTATTCAACATACTTCCTAAGTTAAAAGTCTAACAACAACAACATACCCAGTGTAATCCAACAAGTGGAGTCTGGGGAGGTTTGAGTGTACGCAGACCTTACACCTGTCTTAGAAGGTAGAGAGACTGTTTTCGATAGATCCTCGGCTTAAGAAGAAACATATCAAAGTAGATTCTAAGGAAAACATGTGAAAGCATTTTGCAAAAAAAAAAAAAAAAGAATAGTGACTACAACAACTAACAACTACTCATTGATTAATACAAGTATTTCCACGAGCTTGTCCTAGTAGAAAAGAATGATCCCCCACATAGAGGAATTTTGGGACGTAATCAAATTAATGAATCACATTCGTAACAATGTTTAGGTAAAATGGTCATACAATTTAAGAAAGGGATTTCATTGTTGTTAGTCTTTTGTTACGTGTACGAATTAAGATAGAAAAAAAGAGATTGGCTCGTGTAGCCCATAGGGCTTTGGTATACGCACATCATGATTTTGAATTTTGTCTGTTGTCACTAAGTATCGTATTAAGTGGAGAAGGTAGAGGGGTGAGCCCATTACCTACCGAATTTTGAAGCTATAAACAAAGGATTTTTAAGTTACAAAAAAATGAAATTGGCTATTATAGAAGGGGATTGGGAATTGGGATTGTAGTGTGGTCATTGGTTAATGAATTGTTAAGTCTTTTTTGTTCACAGTTTCCCTTACATTTTTCCTTTGCAGAGTGATCCCGACTCGAAGGGGCTATCCAGTGGCATACAGGCTTTATATGGAACTTCTAAAAATATACGCTTTCTCATTGCCATCTCTGATTAATGGTCCAAATTATCAAAAGTACGCCTTGCTTCTTGTATCCTTCTTCAGTTTGTCTCATTACTAACCATTTGCTTGTTCATATCCTTTATTATTAAGTTTGATCTTAGCTCTGAAAAACATTGATGCAATGTAACATTTGTGTTGACACCATAGGCCACCGCAGTATGTGAATTCATTTATTAATTTATTTAGATTTCTTGGTTAGATAGTGAGGTCAGAGACTGTGGAAAGGTAAATGGCGGTGAAAAAGGAATGCCTACACTTATTTACTTTTGTGTCAATGGTAAAGTAGGTTAATGGCCATCTTTGGACTCTTTCTCCTCCTAATCAAATTGGCAGCTTCAGTTGATAACGTTCCAATCTTTTTTTACCGTCTCAAAGCCCAAAGTATCAAGTTCTTTCAGGAAAACATTAGTTGAGAGTCTAATTCCGAAAAAATCTTTCTTCTGTAGTCTTTACTCTGTCGAGACTTGGTAGGGAT